CAAAATAAGTTTTTTTTTGCTTCAGAGAATTTCTTCTAACCCCCTGTTTTCCTTATATCTCATACTAAGATAAGTCCATTCTTGAGAGATTACAACATTTATAAAACAATAGCTAGCATAATTCATGAAGTTTAATAGAATGATTTTAGACTAGGCAAATACATATAAATCAGTTTCTCAATTTTTAACACATCTACATTCCAAAAATTTCTTAATGTAGATTTATATACCCTATTTAGGGATGAATACAGAAGTAGGAAAAATGGGCCGTGCTTTGTGAACATGAATGTTCACCATATACATGCTAAAAATATTTATCCATTAATCAGCACAGGTGAACTATGCAAAATATATTCTTCATTTTCTTTTTACAAAAAATATTATTAAATAACACAGAGTACTTACATTTGCATTTGCAAATATAAGAATAATATCTAATATATATTATTAGTAACTACTACTGTAAATATTGTTCTTGTATCAAAAAAAGAAATAAATACAAATAACATATAACATAATAATTATGTTATTATGTTATAATTTTGCACCAATAAATATTGATTTTTTTTTAAATGGAAAAGTAATTAAATGTTATAAAAAAATGTATGAAAAAAGTTGTATATATGGCAGTTTTTGTTTCTATTAAGTATCCAGTCTTAATGAAAATAACATTTTAAAAATATGCAAATTAAATGCTCTCTTATAATTAGAAAATTAGTTTAGTTGTAAAATCATTTCTATACAAATGAGAGTAACTTAACGTAATATTTATTTAATATCAAGAAGTAAAAATATTTTAGAATTTGTTTTTGTTTGTCTTATTTTTAAACATATTTAATGTATCTTCTTTGAGCATCTTCTGAAAATATGATATAGCTGCTTATATATTCATCTTCATAAAAAGAACATAAGTGTCATCTTTTTCTGTTATAAAATTATTTACTTTAATTATTAATATGAGAATAATTTGCAACAAAATGCATTATTTTCAACATGCCTAGAATAAAAATAATTTATAGAATAAATAATTTTATGAATTGTATATGATTTACTTTCTTATAATATTATGATATTTGTTTATTATGTACCTTAACACTATATGCATTATCATAGCCTCCTTTCATTTGCATTTGTGCTTGAATATTTGATAATTGTGCACTGCTCATATCAAGATCTCCACTACTAATATGTCCAGTATGCCTAAAATTTGTAGGTACTCCTATCATGCTACGATCTATCCTTAGTCTCTGATGTGACCTTTGCCTTCCATTACGTGTTCTAGGTCCTTGTTGCATTAAACAACAAGTAAAACATTGTACCCAAAGTTCTCCACTACCCGCCATTATACTTTAATTGTGTTTACTTCAAAATCTAAGATATTTTAAAAAATATAAATTTATTAAGTGAGTATTTTAGAAATTAATTTATAAAATTTTTTTATTATTTTAATAATCTTAACATATGTCTATAAAAATAGAAACAAAATTATAAAATGAAATTTAGATCAAATAATTATTCAATAAAAAAATTTTATTTTTTAAATTATAAATATATGTTTAAAAAATAGTTTTTATAAATTAAATAATAAATTATCTATATTATTATGTGAATGAATGAAACAAATTGATAAAATATTCGTACTTACGAAGTCGTCAAGTAATCGTATTGTCGATCAATCTAACCTTTGCAATATCCGTTCGAGACTTAAAGACAGAATGAAACAAAATAAACATTCCCTTTTGATCGATGAGTTTACATGTGATTCTAAAGGACATTGAAATTATTTGAACATTTTACTATATAAACTATATAATATTATATATATGGTAATTGAAGCTCTATAAAGATTAAACAATTGACTTTATGGGAACAAAAAAAAAACGAATGAGACATACCGATTCACAAGATGTAGACTTTCGAATTATTTTCACAATGTAAGTAATAAATCTGCGGCTTTCTTTCTATCTCTAATTAATCATTAAATAATCTTAAGACGATCACTTTTCACCATGTTTCATTGACATTCTTTGAAGAAAATTGAACAGTAATTATTTAGTCGTTTTTTTTTTAATAATTTAAATGACAATCAAAATAAATTTTAATTTTTAAAATATAAAAGCCTGAATGTCAACGTGATCAACGGTTATCAGTATAGCGAATTATATGTACTATATATTATAAAAAGCCGAGAAAATCCGAAGAAAGTCGAAAGTTATCGAATGTTACCGATCTATAAAATTCTGATCATTGAATATACAAATAGCTTATTCTCAGTCAGTCAAAATATATTCAGTCAGACAATTATTGTCTTTTTAAAAAAAACTGGTATAAAATAATAAATTGTTCATTCTTTTATAATTATTTATTTGTTATATATTTGTTTTGTTGTTAGGATACATGCATGTATGAACAATACAGCATGACAGCATGAATACGCTTTATTAAATAAATTATATACAGATTCTCACATACAGACATTGCCGCATCATCAAAACGCTATACGCACTAAATAAAATATAAATTATTCTATGAAAATCTTCGACTACAATACATTGACTTTAGAGGCCTTTACTCTTTGAATTAACATATATAGTTCCAAATACTCCCATTCTTTTGCATATTGAGATTTGCAAATATATATTTTATGTATTTATCACAAGTAAGTAATTTCTTAAAATATCATTTTGCTAATTTTGTTGTCAAAAAACGAAATAAAACAAATTTTATGTGAAAAATATGAAATTCTAATTATATTATAAATCCTAAATAAGAGAGTATCATCAATCTTTATGCAAGTGCCTAAAAGATATAAAAAAAATTGGTGACATACAATATATATATCAAATATGAAATCTGAAAATGATTTCATGTTCTTTTTTGTACCACTCCAATTCCTTCTTTTATATGATGTCCTCCATTCAGGACTCTTTTACATATCTGGTTTATAATAATAGATATTAGAATTATCACAGTCTGTGTATTTATAGTTTAAACATTAATGTAAGATCCTTCTTAAATTAATTTAACAACATTATTTTTCTGTGTGATGTTGTTCTGAAAAAAGTCTCAGGAAAGTTAGCTTTATCGTTGCACATGAACAGCAGAACATTATGAAAAAAAAATTTTTTTAATTCATAAGATACAAAAAAAGATGGAAAAAGAATACTTTAAAGGCATGCATATTGGAACTAATGTTTCTATAACTACTGAATAAACCTGTATATCATATGAAATAATATCAATAACTTAATTATTAGTTATATCTCGAAAATGAATATGTCTTATTTGTATTTTGTATTTACAGCTTAAGTATTTATACAACGTTATGTGATAAAAATCTGAAACTTTCCTTCATGTCTCTTTTTCTTTATCAAATATTTTTCATTTTTTTTTTTTATTTGGACGCTTATAATTTTTCTATTTTTTTTTTTAAATTCCTCAATTGTGAAAGATTATTTAAACGCTTGATAAAAAAACTTGATCTCTAGGATAGAGTTGAAAGATATCAAAAAGTTGTAAAAATAAACGATAGATATAATGATTTTTTGAAAATTATATAAATAATAAATTCAAAAAATCAAATGATTACAATTTTGATTCACTCTGCACAACTAGCGTTTTAATTAAAAGAAAAAAAAAACTTTTATATCATTCTGTAAAAAAATCTTCCTAGTTTACTCCATATAAATTAATATCTTGCCTCTTTTTTTGTGTATTTCTTTCTGAGAATTAATCTTATGCAATTATCTTTTTTTTATTATTATATAAATTAAATTTGCAAGAATTAAAGAAAGAAAAATCTTTACAAAAGTATTTTTCAAAATCCATAATTCTTTCAATCAATTTCAAACAATTACTATTGTTTGTTCCGTCGTATTTTCTATATACGTTGTACATTCTAAATGAAACGAGAAAATACCAACTATTCTATCGTGCAAATCCAAGAAAATCTGTGAGTCTATCGTTCCAATCGTGAAGCCAATGAGTGGGTCCATGATTTGGTTGTCTCTGTTTGCAAGGATTAATTTCTGTCTCCAAGGGCATATATTCCTCGCCCCTGATACAAAAATAACTTTTTATTGGACTTCTACACATTGGACATCGATCTAGTTTGCCAAAACAGGATGCACAGATGCAGGTATGCCTGCAAGGCAATAGAGCACGTGACAGAGGAAAGTATTGGCAAACAACGCAAAGTTGTTCTCCAGCTGTGTTCCATAGCGATCCCTCGGGATCGCCAGTACCGGAGGCAACCAATGCGCCCCTAGTTGTACTACCGTTGTTGTTACAAGGCTCTGCAAGGGCCAGAGCTGAACCTAGACCCGAAGACATATCTCCTTCGTCATAATTCGTTGAATTGCCGGTGGCTAAATATAATTGCTAAAATAAAAATAATTGAGATTATTTATTAATGAGATTATTTTTACAAATAAAAGTATAGATTTTCTCTTTTATCAAATTTAAATTAAAATTGAACATGCTTACTTTAAGACAAGATAATTGTCCGTTAGCTTGCTTGAGATATTGCGCCAGAATCGAAGTGGGTAGTGTGCATACGCTATCTTTGATATGGACAACATTTACTAGAGCCACCTTTCAAAAGAAAAAGTAATAAATTAATAAAATATAATAATTATATTTAAACATTTAATGAAAAAATTAATTCCATAAAAAGATTGCAGTTTATAATGAACTTAAAAAATATCCACCGTCTCGTCTGGATGAGGATCTCCTGTATCCCTACGAGTTAGAAAGATTACTAGAGGATAACAAAGTCTAGGTGGTGTTCCAAGCTCTAATTCTGGTGCCGGAAGAGACAATCTCAATGTTTCTTCTCCGTGTGGTTGTCTACTATATATTTTAATCAAGGAATAACGATTGATATCATTAACGATATTAATATTAATTACAATATAAATTTTTAAAATTATATATGATTATCTCAAATATATATATATATATAT